AAACAGCGGCGCGCATCACGGTAGCCGGTGCGATCATGGGTTTTGCGGAATTCCGCCGGGCGGACGTTTGCCTGCTAAGGATTTTCACTGCTTTACACTTCCATGTGTGGAAAAATAGTCGATATGCTGTCTGGCCTCTAAGCTGACGAATTTTCCATCAAAAATTTGAAGTGCCTATATATGGGAAAAGAATTTTGCAACTTCGGACGGGGAACACCGTCCCAAATTTCAACCTTTCAGTTTTCCGGTTTCCAAGCTAGTGACTTTCACATTAAAACTTTGACATGGCCGTACATAAGACCTTAGCATGCTTGGGAGGTAAATATGAGTTTGTGAGTTGCCTGCATAGGCAAAAAACATCCTCCTGAAATTTTAGCCTCACATCTCTTCTGGTTCTCGAGATAATAATTTTCCCCGCCAAAACTTTCATGAAACAGTACGTGTTATTTGCGGGAAAGGGAGGGCTGAATTTAAGTTTTCTGGGTCATACGTGAGAGCAGGGAACAAAAAGATAAAGTTTCAGCCGCCTAGCTTTTGTGGTTCTAGAGTTGAAAGTGCGGGAAAAAAACGCACACACACACACACACATACACACACATACACACACATCTATATATATATATATACATACACAAAAACACATAGACAACTCTGTTAAATATGCGTTTTTACCGCTATTTTAAATTTTCTGGATCGTACGTGAGCAAGGAATAATATCCTAAAATTTCAGCCGCCTAGCTTTTGTGGTTCTAGAGTTGAAAGTGCGGGAAAAAACGCGCGCGCGTGCACACGCACACACACACATACATACACAACTCTGTTACACTGTGTTTTGTACTGCTGTTACACAACGCAAAAAGCATAACAAGAATGTAATGCGTACACGACAGACAAACGCATCGATTTGAGAAACACACAGGGATGAGAAAAAACATGAAACATAGGTAACGATACATGAGGCTTGCCAGTGCGAAAATGCGTTTTTTCGCATGACTTTTCACGCAGATGTCTACCACTAAGTAGCACAGTTTCTTCGACAAGCATTTCTAGCTGAAAGAATTGACAGCGACTCAC